ACAACAGAAGAGGCCGTGCACGTAACTGATACTTCAGTTGTTTCTTAGCGCGGTTAAATGCAAATAAAAGCTGTTGATTTTTGATGTATGTAATGATATCTACTGCACTATGTATATTTCTTAAATATACATAGAAAGGGAAAAATAGGGGGAAAAAAAGCAAAAATATACTTCGCATCAGTGGTATGTTTCTGTGTACACACACAACTGCATAATTAAAAATTAAATGTTTCACAAACCATTTCTTGTCAGATTATCTTTGAAAAATGATCACCACCAACTGAGCATAGTTGTGACATTTAAAATAGCAATAATTTAATTTAGCCTTATTTTGTTCCATAATTTGTCTTTAGAATTTTAAACAGTAAACTTGTTTCTTTCATTTTTACTAGGTAAGCCACAATAAAACAGAATGATCATAGGGCTAAAATCAAATTTGTGGAAACTGAAACCGGTCCAAAACAGGGATGAGCTAATAAATTACTTCAATTTTATCACCTTGAAGACTTAGAACTTGATAAAATGGATCACAAAGACAGACCTGAAGACCTTTTCATACACATTTCAGCTTGAAACAAAGTAAATGAAAATCAAAAATATACATAAAATAACCTTGCAATAAATTCTTCCTTCATACAAAGAGCCAAATTCTAATATTAAGTATATTTGCATGCAAAGTAGGATTTTTCAAGGTGATGAGAAGGCAGGCAACTGCACACATGTTAAAGAATTTGTGCACTAAATTTCCAGTCATATTTTTTGACTTTCCAATTGCCAGTCTAAAATGTTTTTGCTTGGAAATGAAGTATGCACAAAAAACTGTTTTGGTAATAAACACTGACAAATACTTGGAAATTAAACAATTTAAATGGACAATGAATTATTTACAATGTCCACACTAATAATTGCTGACAACAATAAAAACAATAACTATCTCAGGATCATTTTACAGCATACCAGAGGTATAATTCCTAAACAAGGTTTATATTCAATGGCAAAACTGTGCAAATTGGAGCAAACTGAACAGCATGCTCTCCTCCCTTACATAAACGTAACACATACTGGTGGATTCCCCTGCTATGTGGAGTGTTTTACTTACAACACAAAGGACCTCCACAACTGCAGCCTTGTTTTAGATTAAGCGAGGATGTGCGTTGTAAGTACCAATCAGCTGATTGCAAATTTGAAAAACTGAGAATGGCAACCTTACCCAAGACAGAGATCTAAGAAAATTAACAGTTGCTCCCTGAAATTATTATAAGAGAGGATTAAAATTTGTAATAATAAATATTTAACAGCTAGTGGCAAGGAAAACTTTATATGCCCCATTTACCCTTCCACAATAGGAGCGACGGTTTCTCAGAAGCCCTTGAGCAAACCATGTATCTTGTTGAACAGAACCCTCATAGGCATAAAGCAGATATAGCCCCAAAACCTAAAATGAATATTGCTCTTCCATTTACCTCTGCACTTACCATTTTCTCTCTGAGAAAGTGTATTACAAGTGTCATTAAATCCAGACACTTCCCAGTCCTTGCTGACGCTTGATACAGGTTTCATACCATGGCAAATTTAGTAATATGGATTATATTCACCAAAACTGGACCTCAAGCAGGGCTTCTGATGCTCTAAGTAGAGTGCCCAAGCACCCCACACCGAGACCCACTCCAAAGGCTGATTTTCTTAGGAAACATCCCGTTATTTGTAGTGTTGGAACCCACCATTGTTTTTGTTATGTATCTAAATAGCATTTTGGTTAATTATTTTAGCCTTTTCTAACTTACTTGAATTTAGTGTTTGGCGTGTTTTGGCACTTGTGCAGTATGCTTCAATGACCTTAAGAATCTGAGCATCTTCTTCCAATGCAGCTGTACCTGAAGTCAACAGAAAAATAAACCTTTACCATGGCTCTAGTTATTAAGTCAGTCATGTAACTGTAAAGTCGTTTTAAGCCGAGAGACAAGTACCAGATAATTCAACTACGGTTCAACTCAGTGAGTCTATTTATCACCACCCTGAACTACCCCCACAAATTGTAGATGATACCTTAATCTATATTCAGGAGAGAGTTTCAATGAGCGAAAAGTAAAGAGTTTTAAAAAACAAATATATACTTAAATATTATAATAAAATGTATTGAAAAACACCTCAAAACTGGGCAATTAAGCCAAACCTAAAGAAGGTTTCCGAATATTTTAAAACTGCCCCTTTCTGTTTCTTTTCAAAGAGAGCTATGTGGAATATAAGTGTTTCAGAGAAGCATGTCTTCCCTCTATGGTATAGTGCAAACCGCAATCAGACATAAAAAGTACACCCAAACAGTTATTAGTTGCACCTTAATTCATATCACAGTTTAATTAGAGAAACACAAGGAATGGAATATTATCTTCTAGCAAATAAATAAGAGCATCATGTAGTTCAACAACTAAGTCTTTATTAAGGTTCACAAGTGATACAAACACACAGTTTTTCCATACCAATACTATGAAAGGAAATCCAGAAATCTGAAAATTAAACTCAGCATAATATTACAAAATATACTGTTGTACAATTTCAGCCTTGTGTCCATCAGGAAAAATGCCACTTACCGTATGAGTACTTCTGTGAAATTTGACAGCATTTGACAGCTATTTTCAGACTGTGTTAAGTGAAGCTTGTAGGTTTCTTAGCAGAGCTTAGAGCAGAGAAAACATTCCAGACACAAAATTCTAAGAATATTTGCTTTGGAGTTAATTAAAAAAAAACCCATGTGAAGCTAAATCTGTTCCTCCTGGGTTTCAACTAGATCCTTTTATCAAAGTTGCTTCAGCTAAAAACAGGGTGTGAAATCTTGACCACAACTTAAGTAAATGGGAGTTTTTAGTCTCGACTTCAATGGAGCCAGAATTTCACCAAGGTTGGTTGGTTTGTTTTTAAATTTCCATCTGTTTTTTCCCATCCCCACAAAGCTTTATATACCATTGGCCTTGAAGATTTTCACTGAGGACATCTGAAGGTCTTTCAAAGTCAGCAAGTAACACAATCTTCTCCCAGCAGGCAAGACAGCCAGAAATCCCATTTTTATTTTCAAGTATTTATAATCACAACCAAACAGATACTCTACAGAATATCCACCAGTGATGACTGTTTGCAAACACCACTAATAAGAGCTCATAGCAACATGATGGTCTCCCAATAATGTTTAAGATGTCCAAACATTTCCCACCTATTCCAGAACTATTTCCTTTTTTAAATAAATGCAAAAATCTGTCAGCAAAGTAACTCCTCTAGGCAGGATGTAACACCAGTGTACTGTTTAGTACAGTAGAGCTAGAGAACTAGTAATTACATAGGCATTAACTTTCTTACATTATACCCAGGTCCATGGAAGTATTTGGTTGGTATATCTCACGTATCTGATTTATTTGTTCAAAGCGTAATTAACACAGAAGGACAAAGATGACTAATTACTGAAACACTGGAAAAAGAAAGATGAGTATCTGGCAGCATCAGTGAAGTTATTCAAGTAAGTAAAAGTCACTGCAAACAAAGTCATCAAGTTTCCCTTTCAGCAGACAAGCCATCCTTTACATCAAAAGTGCTGACAACTGTAATTTTGAAAAGATATCCTTCAATTAAAAAAATAAGTTTATTTCATCTTTCTTTGAAACTAAACAATAGCTCCTGTTAGTGCATGTGCTTTGATCATCTCTCAGGCTGCAGGTGTTTGCTTGGTATCTTGGAGAAGTGGAATGAAACTGCAACTGCATGCTGGTGATTACTGAAGTTCCACACGAATATCTGATGGGATCTGTTGTACTGGGACTACATGGCAGCAGTTTCTTTACTACTTAATTGATCTCCATTGGTTAGAATACATCAAATTCAGCATTGTTTCTCAACATTGCTTCATTTCTATTCCTAATTATAGAAGCTGTGATAGATTAAAACATTTGTATTTCAGCAGTTGTTGAAATTAAAAGATGGTCAGATTAGTAGCGAACTGTTTGTTTTTCGGTTCTATTCTATCCTTTCTTCCATATTTTAATTCTTTATTTCTCACATTCTCCTCAAATAATCAAGTTTGTGACATAACTGCTTTTAAATGGCATAAAAGTGAAACACAAAGGCATTTTAAGATCACAGATCCATTTCCCGCCCCCATCAGCCCATCTGTAACCATCATACCACTCACTTAAAAGGCATAGTAATGAAAAGGATGTTACAGTTGTTTTTAAATTGAGTGGCTTCTGCACCTCTAACTAGCCCACTGTATCAATTAGTACTAGTAATTAATATTTTATTACTGGGAAGCAGTATTAAGCTCTACAATCTTTAAGATAAACACTTAAAGGAAGTATGCTTTGTAAATTTAAAGAGTAACAAGAAAAATGGTCTAATGTAATTATGTTGTATAGGTCCTTTAAAATGGATTTAAAATAAAAATATCAGTAAAGATATACAATTCACTTGGATAAAAATGCCATTGCTGTGTGTTGCTGGAACAGAACAAAACTGTCACATTAAAGAAAGAGCTTCTGTTGCACTTACCTATTATTCAGCAGAATCTGATAAAAAAGATTTCCCCAAATGTTCTCTTCTGTGATTGGGGACGACGAGAGAACTAAAACAGCACCAACTTATTTTGTACTATAGGGAACCATTACTCTCTTTTGTTTTGAAGATTTTGAGAGGACAACAGATTTAAATAAAAAGGAATGCCTCTTATTTGATCAGTCCAGAATGAAAGTCTTGTGAAGATGCGGAATGGATAAAACAAATCTTTTTTTTAACAATATCAAATAGAAAGTCTAAATACTAAGATGGGTGAAATTGAGTGTCTAGTATTGAATGAGGCTATTGATTATAATAGTCATCACAGAAACTTGGTGGAATGACAATTAATGGGAATTGGTGATATCAGGGTAGAAAATATATAGAAATAACTGAGTAGGTCACGCTGGTAGGGGGTAGGGGGAAGACTGGCACTATATGTGAAAGAAAAAATATAGTCAACTATAATAAAAATCTTAAACGAATCAAACTTTCCCACAGAATCTCTATGTATAGACATTCCATGCTTGAATAATAATAAAACAGCAGGAATATACTCCCAAACACCTGACCAAGATGGTAACAGTGACTGTATAATGTCTCTGACATTAGAGAGAGACTATAAAACCAGAAAACCCAATAATAATGGGGGATTTAACTATGCCCATAGTGACTGGGTAAATGTCACCTCATGACGAGATGCAGAGATAAAATTTATGGACACCATTAATGACTGCTTCTTGGAGCAGCGAGTCCTGGAACCCACAAGAGGAGAGGCAGTTCTTGATTTAGTCCTAACTGCAGCACAGGATCTGGTCCAAGAAGTGAATATAGCTGAATCGCTCGGTAACAGTGACCATAATGTAATTAAATTTAACATCCTTGTAGGGATGAAAATACTACAGAAATCCACCACAGTAGCATTTAACTTCAAAGAGAAAAATACACAAAAATGAAGAGTCTTGTTAAACAGAAATTAAAAGGAACAGTCACAAAAGTGAAAGGAAGCTACAGGGAAACTATTTATAAACACCGTAACAGAGGCTCAAACTATACGTATATGCCAAATAATAATAAAAACAGTAAGAGGACCAAAAATGCCACCATTATTAAACAGCAGAGTAAAAGAGGCGGTTAGAGACAAAAAGGCATCCTTTAAAAACTGGAAGTCAAATCCTACTGAGGAAAATAGAAAGGAGCATAAACTCTGGCAAGTCTAATTAGGCAGGCCAAAAATGAATTTGAAGAGCAACTTAGCAAAAAGCAAACTAACAGCAATTTTTTTTTTAAGTACATCAGAAGCAGGAAGCCACAATCAGTGGGGCCACTTCATGATCGAGATGCTAAAGGAGCATTCAAGAAAGATAAGGCCATTGTGGAGAAGCTAAATGAATTCTTTGCATCGGTCTTCACTGAAGAGGATGTGAGGGGAATTCTCACACCCGAATCATTCTTTTTAGGCAACAAATCTGAGGAAGTGTCCCAGACTGAGGCATCGGTAGAGCAGATTTTGGAATGAACTGATAAACTGAACAGTAATAAGTCCCAGGACCAGATGTGATTCACCCAAGAAATATGAAGGAACTCAAATATGAAACTGCAGAACTACCAACTGTGGTTTGTAACCTATTGCTTAAATCAGCCTCTGTTCCAGGTGACTGAAGAGTAGCTAACGTAACGCCGATTTAAGAAAAGGCTTCAGACATTACATTACAGGCTGGTAAGACTAACTTCAGTTCCAGGCAAATTGGTTGAAACTATGGTAAAGAACAGAATTATCAGACACACACATGAACATGACTTGTTGGGAAAGAGTCAACACAGCTTTTGTAAAGGGAAATCATTCCTCACCAATCTATTAGAATTGTTTGAGGGGGTCAACAAGCATGTGGACAAGGGTGATCCAGTTTCTGGACTTTCAGAAAGCCTTTGACTCCAAAGGCTCTTAAGCAAAAGTAAGCAGTCCTGGGATCAGAGGGAAGGTCCTCTCATGGATCAGTAACTGGTTAAAAAGATAGGAAACAAAGGGTATTAATAAATGATCAGTTTTCTCAATGAAAAGAGTTAAATAAGGATCTATACTGTGACCTGTGCTGTTCAACATATTCATAAATGATTTGGAAAAGTGAGTGACCACTGAGGTGTCAAAATTTGCAGATGATACAAAATTACTCGAGATAGTTAACTCCAAAGCTCACTGCAGAGAGTTACAAAGGGATCTCACAGAACTGGGTGACAGAGCAACAAAATGGCAGATGAAATTCAATGTTGAGAAATACAAAGTAATGCACACTGAAAAAAATAATCCCAACTAAACAGACAAAATGTTGTGGTCAAGAAAGAGATCTTGGTATCATTATGGAAACTCTGAAAATACCAGCTCAGTGTGCAGCAGCAGTCAAAAAAGGAAGTATTAGGAAAGGGATAGATAATAAGACAGAAACGATCATAATGCCATTGTATAAATCCATAGTACACCCACACCCTGGTGCACAGTTCTGGTCACCCCATCTCGAAAAAGATGTATTAGAATTGGAACATGTATAGAGAAGAACAACAAAAATAATTAGCAGCTTTCATATGAGGAAAGATTAAAAAGACTGACCGTTCAGTTTAGAAAAGAAACAACTGAGGGGGGAGATGATAGAGGTTCATAAAATCATGACTGGTGTGGAGAAAGTGAATAGGGAAGTGTTATTTACCCCTTCACCTTACACAAGAACCAGGGGTCACCCAATGAAATGAATAGGCAGCAGGTTTAAAACAAACAGAAGGAAGTACTTCTTCACACAACGCCCAGTAAACCTGTGGAACTCATTGCCAAGGCCAAATATATAACTGGGTTCAAAAAAAGAACTGGTTAAGTTCATGGAGGACAAGTCCATCAATGGCTATTAGCCAAGACTGATGGGTCACTAACTTCTGAGTCCCAGAAGCTGGTACTGGATGACAGTGTATGGATCACTTGATAAACGTCTTGTTCTGTTTGTTCCCTCTGAAGCATCCAGCGCTGGCCACTGTCAGAAGACAGGACACTGGGCTTCATGGACCCACTGATCTGACCCGCTATGGCTGTTCTTATGTTCTTAAAATGGAAAGACAGAAGGAAAAGAAAAGGAGTACTTGTGGCACCTTAGAGACTAACAAATTTATTTGAGCATAAGCTTTCGTGAGCTTCAGCTCACTTCATCGGATGCATTCAGTGGAAAAAGAATCGCTTTTAAAGAAGAAAATATTGTGGTCAAATGATGACCATTGTATATTATAATCTGTTTCAGACTTCGTAAATTTTCAAACAACATTTTTTTCTCCATGAATCAAAAATTATATTCAAAACCATATAGCCCAATATTTTCAAATTTGGTTAATTACTGTATAGCATCAAATGCCATATTAAAGCACCTAAACAAACAATGGCTTGGATATTCAGAGTTGCAAAGGCATTCTTACTGCTCCCCTTCAAATACTGAAGTGTTGGCCAGAGTATTTAGTTTCCTAAACTCCCAACAAGTTTCTTTTAACTTGCTTAATAAAATTACACTAAAACTACTTCAAACAAACTCACACAATGTGAATTCCTTCAAGGGCCGGGTATATGCTGTATCCAGTTACATCCACCACAGAACGTAACAACAAAACTAACTTTTAAATATTTTATTGGGCCAATCTGTATTAAGGACATTGAAAAGATGTCTTGGTATGATGTAGAATACAACTCATTGGTAATTGGTTTAAAAGGAAGGAACAAGTTTCTTCATGGGAGGCCCTGTATCTGTGCTTGGTAACAAGTTCCTTTCTTGAGGAGGCCTTATGTCTTCTCCACTGTCTTTCATTCCATCTATATGCAAGGTTCTAGTGAGAGGGATGCTTGCTTATGCAGCTGGCACATTAATAACAAACAACCCAAGCTTTATAGCCCAACTGTGTCATGCAAGTAAACTTGATATGGACAAGTCAGCTATCCACATATTACTCAACTAAAGTTTCCATCAACATATGTGTAAACAACAAATCATTCCCTTCACTAACTTAAGTTCCTGACATCAGAAATCCATAGCACATCCTAGGGAAAGAGAAAGCTCCCACGGTAGGTCAGCAAGTGGTGTCTGTGACGTTGCACTCCATATGCTTTATGAAAATATGCTTATGAATGTAAATATGATGTAACTGGAATATGATTTATGCAAAAGGTCTCTTGTAAGGTATCATTACAAAGCTTATAATCTACTAAATTTGTTCATCCTATTTATCTGCATGTATTATTTCTATGTCTGAAGTTAGGAGAATAAGATATAAACTTGTATTACTAATGTAAACATATTAAGTGGAAGCCATTAAGGGTGCTTCAGAATCAATGAACGGTAAATGGCTCTGTTTACTTACAAACCTTCCTGGGTACCGTGGGCCAGCCCAGGAAGAATGGAGGCTGGGGTCTCACAGGACATGTGACCATGTCACCTGATACTGGAATCCATCTTAAATCTGGTATTTTTTCATTTAGAAGGAGGGGTGGGGACCCAGAGAGAAAAGATTCCCACCTTGTGCCAAAGATATAAAATGGGGTGGACCAGGACAAAGAGGTGGTCAGTCATGAGAAAGCCCCTGCTTACAACCTAGGATGTCTGCTGGAACTAACAAGGACTGTACCAGGGGAAAGGATTGGGCCCAGACTAGGAAGGAGTCTACTCTGTGAAAGAAGCTTATTGGAACATTTCTGAGGGTGAGATATTACCTGTAATCAGTTTCTTAATGTATTTGGCTTAGACTTGCGTGTTTTTGCTTTATTTTTCTTGGTGACTTACTTTGTCCTGTCTGTTATTACTTGAAACCACTTAAATCCTACTTTTTATACCTAATAAAATCACTTTTGTTCATTAATGAACCCAGAGTAAGTGATTAATAGCTGGGGGAGCAAATAGCTGTGCATCTCTCTCTATCAGTCTAATAGAGGGCGGACAATTTATTAATTTACCCTGTATGAGCTTTATACAGAGTAAAATGGATTTATTTAGGGTTTGGATCCCATTGGGAGCTGGGTGTCTGGAGATAAGTACCCTGCTGAGCTGTTTTCAGTTAAGTCTGCAGCTTTGGGGGCATGGACCAGTCCCTGGGTCTCTGTTGCAGCAGGCTAGTGTGTCTGGCTCAACAAGACAGGGTTCTGGAAGTCCCAAGCTGGCAGGGAAAACGGGCTCAAAGGTAATTTCAGCACATCAGGTGACAGTCCCAAGGGGATCTCTGTGACCGAACCTGTCACAGTGTCATGGGAAAAATTCCTTCTCAACTCAAAGTATGGTGATTCTTTATGACAGCATTCACTATGTGCTTCACATGTTCCACAAACTCAAGATAGACAGGTCTTTGTTCTAAGGAGCCGACAATTTAAGGATACAGAAGTAGACAAAAACTGAGGAAAGCGAATGTGGTTTTGAGTACATGAACTAGATCAATCTAAATGGCTTAATTATTTTAAGTGCCACACAGACCCCTGTTATCACAATTGTTACTTATCCGTGCGCACATGTGAATCAGGACATATTAGTACACACTAAATAGACAGAACTGGACTGAAGTTAAGACAGCAGAATACAAACTGTTTCCCCCCTGGATAACACAGTTATTAATACTTGTCTTTTCTTTCATCCTTCCTATTTCCCCCACACTTCTATTATACTGCTAGTGCTCCCTCTATACTTGCTTAAGCTTTTGTTCTTTATGGTATTTTTTATCTATAAACTCATCTTGTTCCTTGGAAACTTCTCTAGCTTTGTCTTATAGCCTATGGAACACGGAAGTCCAGACCTTTCACTGACCTCTGTCACAAATAAATGACATACAGAAAATACCCTGTTTCTAAGGAAATATCAGTACAGTTGTTAGAGCTAAAAAATGACCTACCCTGACAGATCTCAGTGTCAGTACCTAGAGAAAGTTAAAAATGGCAATTTTCAATGGGAAAAAAAATTAAAATACCATCCATTTCTCTGAAACTTTCTTTTATATACACTGGCACCTTATGAATATGCTGATATTTATTCAGTCTCACTTACTTTTTCTCAGTGCAAACTCTTCGTCTGATGGCTTCCGTTCAGGCTTGCGCTTAGGAAGCAGCTTTTTCATGGTTTTAGGGCTTTTACTGAGATCCTGGGTGAAAAGAAAAGAAAAAATAAAGCTTCTTTTTTTAAAAAAAAAAATTCCAAATGCTGAAATTTTAATTTCTGTTAAGTAGCTGTTAACTGTAAAAATCTTACAAAGCTACAAAAAATGTTGCTGGCTGATATTATTTTTGGCATATTTCAAGTTTACTTGAATCCACTTATTCCCCCAACCCCATTGGCTGTTTGCATGTTAATCTTCTAGTCCAGGAGCAGGCAAACTTTTTGGCTTGAGGGCCACATCGGGTTTCTGAAATTGTATGGAGGCCCGGTTAGGGGAGGCTGTGCCTCCCCAAACAGCCAGGCGTGGCCCGGCCCCTGCCCCCTATCCGACCCCCCTTTCTTCTTCCCCCCTGATGCCCCCCCCCCAGGACTCCTGCCCCATCTAACCCCCACTTTCTCCGGCCCCTGACGACCCCCCCGGAACCCATCCACCCCTCCCTGTCCCCTGACCGCTCCCAGACCCTCCGACTCAGACTGCCCCCCACTACCCCATCCAACCCCTCCTCTCATTCCTGACTGCACCTCCTGGGACCCCTGCCCCATCCAACCCCTTCTCCCTGACCGCCCCCGGTACCGCTGCCCCTGACTGCCCCCCGCCACTCCATCCAACCCCCCCCTCCTTCCTGACTGCCCCCTGGGGACCCCTGCCCTCCTTCAACCCCCGTTCCACACCCTCTGACTGTCCCTACCCCTATCCACACATCCCCCCGACCACCACCCCAAAGTCCCCTGTCCTCTATCCAACCCCCCCCTGCCCCCTTACCGCGCTGCCTGGAGCACCGGTGACTGGCGGTGCTACAGCCACGCTGCCCAGAGCACCAGGACAGGCAGCCGTGCCGCCCCGTTGGAGCCAGCCACACCACCGCACAGCACAGAGCACCGGGTTAGGCCGCGGCTCTGCAGCTGCGCTGCCCGATAAGAGCTCACAGCCCCGCCGCCCAGAGCACTGCACCAGCGGCACAGTGAGCTGAGGCTGCGGAGGAGCGGGGACAGCAGGGGAGGGGCCGGGGTCTAGCCTCCCAGGCCAGGAGCTCAGGGGCCGGGCAGGAGGGTCCCACGGGCCGGATGCGGCCCACAGGCCGTAGTTTGCCCACCTCTGTTCTAGTCTTATTAACAGAAATACACAGCAATGCTGCTGTAAGTATGCAGGCTGTCTGGGAGCTAGAGCGAAGGTAACAATGGCAAGCGGGACACAATCAAAGTATTTTTCTTAACTTTTGAGGGGTAAACCCATCATATTTAGAAGCAGATAAAATAAGTCCTAAAGTGGAAGGTTGGTAGGTTATACACATCTATTTCTTTAAATCAAAATTTGAAGAGTGCTTGTTATAGCTTTGAAAGGAGAGAGCTACAGCAAAAGAATACATTGACAGAGATTCAACACTTCTGCTCTATAGTGAGTCATGCTAATGTATAAGGATACAAAATACATACTGATCTACCCCTTACCTTCAGAATACAAGACAGCCTCTATACATGTGTAGAACAAGAAAGTGAAAAGATGAATGAGCAGGACAAAGACCAAAGAGGATGAAGATAGGTTTCAAACATTCAGTCATATAATAAGCACTGTAAAGATGAGTGAAATTTTGCCACATTTAAGAATTAAACAAATGTTATGAATACCAACGCATGAAAGAAGTTTACTTATATTTAATTTAAAAGATGGACATACACTGCAGCTGAATAAGCTAACGTAGTAATTAAATCAAAATGTGTAACCTTCAAATTAAAGGCCATCTCTCTCCCACATTCCCTTTGGAGGTGGTGGTGGTGGGTTTTTTTTTGTTTTTTTTTTTGATTAAGTGTTTCATGAGTGACAACTGTTTGTCAAAAGACTGACCCCATAATGTAAACAGAGCACAATTTGTGTGCCTGCAAAAAATTCAAATTTCAAACTCATCTCCTGCATGCACACTCAAGATATTTGCAGGAACAATTGTGCACATTCCTTTGGGAATTGGTTCTTAACATTAAATCAGAATCATGACAATGCATGAAACAAGTTTTTCAACAGAAATTTAATATTGCTTCTGAATAAAGTATAATACTTCTCTGTCATATGCCTATTACCTTGCCCTTTTATAGTGCACCCCCATAAGAGGATCTCAGCATGCTTTATCAAAGTGACTAAACATTATTTCCCCCATTCTACAGCTTGTAAATAGAGAGAGACAAAGTGGCTGTGAGTTACCCATGGTCTCACAGCAAGTCAGTAATAGAATCTCTGGCTTCATTTACTAGACACAGCTGCCTCGGTCATCAAATTACACACACCACCAAATTCTGCATAAACCAAACATTTTAAATATTCTTCATTTTTACAGAAGGGCAGAATTTAGTGATAAGAACAAGTTAGTCTACCACTGCCATCCTTTTGTGGATTACTAAAAATAATTTTGTATTTCTTTTACAGACCAGATTAAAATCTGCAACATTAAAGGATGAGGGGTGGGGTATAAAGAAGAACGAAGAATCATTACACGTCATCATAAATGATACCACAATTTGAAGCTGATGCACAAAAAGTCATATACTATAAGTCCTAGGATTAAATTTAAAGGTTTACTAAGTGCATGTAAACAACAGTTTAATATTCAGGAATGAAATTAGTCATAACAATTGTAGATACTCAAAACTATGAGAGACTCCTATGCAGTAGGAAATGCCGGTTAGATTGTTGATTCTGGACTCTTTCTCCATTCACCAGCAAGCAGTGGCAACACTCTGATCTCTGAGGTTACCGAGAGAATGTCTCACTTTGGTTAATTTTAAACACAGCATTCTCTCACTGCAAAAGGTTTTCCCGCACCCTATCGGACCAGAGGGATTGTAGAAGTAGAGCAGGATACAGAGAACTAGGTATATGGGAAGTAGAAAAAAAAAAACTAGGAGAAAATCTTCATGGCGCAGATAGGGATGCATGAATGCAGAGGATTTCCATTCCATCTGCCCCAATAGATGATGATGATGATAAAATAATAATAATAATAATGAATACAAGTGGGCACTAATCAATTACCACTGTTTCAGTGTTAACTTAAATGAAGTTAAGTTCCAATCTTTAAAAAAGGGAAGAAGGAGGATCCTGGGAACTACAGGCCAGTCAGCCTCACTTCAGTCCCTGGAAAAATCATGGAGCAGGTCCTCAAAGAATCAATCCTGAAGCACTTGCATGAGAGGAAAGTGATCAGGAACAGCCAGCATGGATTCACCAAGGGAAGGTCATGCCTGACTAATCTAATCGCCTTTTATGATGAGATTACTGGTTCTGTGGATGAAGGGAAAGCAGTGGATGTATTGTTTCTTGACTTTAGCAAAGCTTTTGACACGGTCTCCCACAGTTTTCTTGTCAGCAAGTTAAGGAAGTATGGGCTGGATGAATGCACTACAAGGTGGGTAGAAAGCTGGCTAGATTGTCGGGCTCAACGGGTAGTGATCAATGGCTCCATATCTAGTTGGCAGCCGGTATCAAGTGGAGTACCCCAAGGGTCGGTCCTGGGGCCGGTTTTGTTCAATATCTTCATAAATGATCTGGAGGATGGTGTGGATTGCACTCTCAGCAAATTTGCGGATGATACTAAACTGGGAGGAGTGGTAGATACGCTGGAGGGGAGGGATAGGATACAGAAAGACTTAGACAAATTGGAGGATTGGGCCAAAAGAAATCTGATGAGGTTCAATAAGGATAAGTGCAGGGTCCTGCACTTAGGACGGAAGAACCCAATGCACAGCTACAGACTAGGGACCGAATGGCTAGGCAGCAGCTCTGCGGAAAAGGACCTAGGGGTGACAGTGGACGAGAAGCTGGATATGAGTCAGCAGTGTGCCCTTGTTGCCAAGAAGGCCAATGGCATTTTGGGATGTATAAGTAGGGGCATAGCGAGCAGATCGAGGGACGTGATCGTTCCCCTCTATTCGACATTGGTGTGGCCTCATCTGGAGTACTGTGTCCAGTTTTGGGCCCCACACTTCAAGAAGGATGTGGATAAATTGGAGAGAGTCCAGCGAAGGGCAACAAAAATGATTAGGGGACTGGAACACATGAGTTATGAGGAGAGGCTGAGGGAGCTGGGATTGTTTAGCCTGCAGAAGAGAAGAATGAGGGGGGATTTGATAGCTGCTTTCAACTACCTGAAAGGGGGTTCCAAAGAGGATGGCTCTAGACTGTTCTCAATGGTAGCAGATGACAGAACAAGGAGTAATGGTCTCAAGTTGCAGTGGGGGAGGTTTAGATGGGATATTAGGAAAAACTTTTTCACTAAGAGGGTGGTGAAACACTGGAATGCGTTACCTAGGGAGGTGGTAGAATCTCCTTCCTTAGAGGTTTTTAAGGTCAGGCTTGACAAAGCCCTGGCTGGGATGATTTAACTGGGAATTGGTCCTGCTTTGAGCAGGGGGTTGGACTAGATGACCTTCTGGGGTCCCTTCCAACCCTGATATTCTATGATTCTATGAAGTGAAAACATACACAATATAAACACACATACAGAACTATGTAAGATCATGATATGAAAAGAACTGAGTTACACCTCTTAAGTGTAGTCCTGTACTTTTACGGTCACATTTCTGGGTTCCGATACCTCACCTCTTTATAACAGAGAGCTGCTGAAGGCCGTAGAGGAGGTGCAGGTCGTAAACAGCTCAAGCTCCAAGGTTTGGGAGTTTTAGGAGGTTCCAGAGGTCCCCAGTTTATAGTGGTATGTGGAGTCCCATGATGTGAAGGATGTGGAAGCGTGTGGTATGCAGGAGTCAGTGGTACTGGTTTGCTGTCTGAATGTTTGCTGGATGGTGTTACTGGATGAGAAGGAAGCTGCCAAATTAAAAAGTAATTTTCAAAAACAGACAAAATCACTTACACTGGCTACCTAACATTTCTATCTATTACAGCTCCAACTAGCACAGTTTTAAAAGCTGAATAATAATTACTGACACAACAGAACATAATTTCATTCAACAAACTATTATCATCTACCACAGAAACAGTATGTATTGAACCACAACAGCTTCGAGATCCTTGCTCACACCCCTTTCACGTTTCACATTTAAAGAGTGAGCGCAAAAGAACAATTTAGCTTAACTCACTCAAATTTAGAATTGCCAGGAAGTTACTTGCAGAGCAGACTGAAACTCAAAAGTTCTGGTTTGTGGGGACATTTGAAATTAGTTTTTGAACTGAATTAGAACAAAAACAAATATTTTCCAAATTGCCTGAAAAGCAATTTAATAAAATTTTCATTTCAGAATTTCGTTACAAATTTTGTTAACATGTTCTCCATTTTTCCATTAATTTTCCATTATTTCATAACATCCACTAGTACTATTAGTGACATCATAATATGGCATAATATAATAGTTGAAATATCTTATTATTTTATTTTTAAAATCATTGTAGACACCTGCTACTTAGTACAGACTAAAACATTTTATCTTCTTTTCTAGGTCCAAGTGTCTCCTCTGTGTTATAACGAAACAATCTGACACAAATAAAATGCATGAAATATAACAGTTAACGTAAAATTTAAAATACGAAGAGAATGTTATGTTATGACATGTCAAAAACAGCAATGTAAATTGTGCATGGCTCTAACCGACATATTAGGAAATGATGTAAAAATCATATACAAATGAAAAAAAGCTCTGAAATAAATTGCAATTCAAAATGATACTTCAGAATTTCCCAAAAGGTTTTTCAAAACTAACATTTTTTTCGTTTACAGGTTTCTTTGCCCTGAAGGAACGTTAGCTCAAATCAACACTTTCATCAAAAAGAACATTTTGAAAAAGAAGCATTTTTAAACAGAAAAAAATGTTGTGGTGAAAAAAGTTTCCAAACAGTTTTAACCTGCTTTGCCACGGTGATGCAACATAACCCATTATTCTAAGAACCATTAAAGGAAAATATCAAATGCAATTTTCAGGCATAACAGTAGTAAGTTAGAGATGGAGTCTCAGCCTTAGCCACGAATTTCCTGGGAATTTTCTTTTGATCTGTTGAAGCCAAACTGTTAAATTACAATATATATTTTGTATCTGTGCATGAGTGACCAAACCTTTCCTCTAATTTTGAAAATATATAAAGCAAATTGGGTAAACAACAAATTGGGTCAATTAAAACATCTGGTTCCTGTTACTGGTGAAAAAAAATTAGAATGATTTATATAGTAGTATGAGATTTATAATCCACATAATCTTTCTCCTAACAACTCAAGCAAAAGCTTGTTTGTTTCAGCCCCTATGACTGAAGTATTTCTTACAGTGTGAGATGGCACAGAATGAGGTTTAATAGTGGGATTCCCAACAGTTGTAACTTTGGTTTGCTTCTGCAGATGATCCACCCATTCATGCAAATCTTGTTGGTTGTTACACGATACTAATATCCGCTCAATCATATTTCCTAGGAGAAAACACAAGATTTAGAAAGTCTAAAAAACAATTATTTTATTCTTTAGAAACACTAAAATAGTAATCGGTTTTTGTCACGCACTGAATCCTTGTAATACCTAAGAGCTAAACAAAGACTTAAAAGTGTAATTTCTGTCCGAAGGAATGATGTTTCAACTCCTTTCCTCACTGTGACAGATTTTTCTTCAGATGTCCGTCTTTATAGACGCAGGACGTTTTGCAATCTTTATTAAGGAAAGTTTATGCAAAGAAATTGATCTAGCAATTGAAGTCATCCTGGTCTCGACTGAGAAATGCAGATGATGCCCCTCCACCAAAAACAATCAAGCAATCAAAAAACAGCATCTAACAAAAAAATACTACTTCACCTACCTTGACTCTCTAGTATCCTGGGACTGACACGGCTACAACTCTGCATATAGCATCTAACCCTACAGTTTGTCCCTAGACTCTATACAGGTACAGAACCACAAGATTAAGGCACACAGTTAGTGAGGAGACATGGATTGCTGAATCTTCAGCATGCAGATGACACAGCTTAGAGTCTCCATTTCATTTGACCTGGCCAGAACAGTTGATTGCACTACTCAATGTTTAAGGGTTGATCCAGTTTGGCTGCCTGACACTTAATCTAGATAATAAAACTGGGGTGAAAGTATATCACTTGGGGGAAGCAACCGGAGGGTATTATGAAGACAACATCAGGGCTGCTAGCTGAGAAGAGAGTGAGCGAGAGGATGGGTGGGTGGGCCTTGGCTGTTCCGGTTTGCTACAAGGTATGCGAGGTTAGATTTTCAGCTGCTTCTGAAAGCAGCAATTGGTAGCAGCAATAACTAGCTTTGGCTTTTTCTCCCTCGTCATATAGCCAGGAGGTTATTCTTCTGGCTGTAGGCCTTATGACCCTCATGACACCTTCGTCCCCCTGAGATTAAACTATTTCAATAGAATCTACTTGGGGCAATACCTTAAATTTACCCACAAACTGAAGCAGGTGCAGAATTCAGCAGAGCAGTCCACTTGCTATGCAGTCTGTTTTACTGTGAGCACGTAAAACCTGTCTTCAGTAACCTGCACTGGATCCTTTTGCTTTCTGGGGCAATTGTAAGGTGTTTGTGTTAATCTATAATACAATAAATGGCCATGAATATACCTAAGCAACTGCTTCTCTCCCCACGACATACCACCAGTGGAGAAACCTGAGCTGAGGCCCCTTCATGATGGGAGTTTGCTTCTGGTAGCGAGTTCTCTGTTAGAGACTGTCATAAATATAAAGGGAATGGTAACCACCTTTCTGTATACAGTGCTATAAAATCCCTCCTGGCCAGAGGCAAAACCCTTTCAACTGTAAAGGGTTAAGAAGCTAAGATAACCTCGCTGGCACCTGACCCAAAATGACCAATGAGGGGACAAGATACTTTCAAATCTGGAGGGGGGGAACAAAGGGTTTGTCTGTCTGTGTGATGCTTTTGCCAGGAACAGATGAGGAATGCAGCTTCCAACTCCTGTTAAGTTAGTAAGCAATCTAGCTAGAAAATGTGTTAGATTTCCTTTTGTTTAATGGCTGGTAAAATAAGCGGTGCTGGAGGGAATGTATATTCCTGTTTTTGTGTCTTTTTGTAACTTAAGGTTTTGCCTAGAGGGATTCTCTATGTTTTGAATCTGATTACCCTGTAAGGTATTTACCATCCTGATTTTACAGAGGTGATTCTTTTACCTTTTCTTTAATTAAAATTTTTCTTTTAAGAACCTGATTGATTTTTCATTGTTCTTAAGATCCAAGGGTTTGCGTCTGTGTTCACCTGTACAAATTGGTGAGGATTATTATCAAGCCTTCCCCAGGAAAGGGGGTGTAGGGCTTGGGGGGATATTTGGGGGGGGGGAGCAGGGGAGACGTCTCCAAGTGGTCTCTTTCCCTGTTCTTTATTTAAAACGCTTGGTAGTGGCAGTATATTGTTCAAGGACAAGGCAAAGTTTGTACCTTGGGGAATTTTTAACCTAAGCTGGTAAGAATAAGCTTAGGGGGTCTTTCATGCAAGTCCCCACATCTGTACCCTAGAGTTCAGAGTGGGGAAGGAATCTTGACATGGTGGCAGTGGTGGGATCATTTTGAACCAGAGATCATTTTGAACCAGAAGCACAGCAGGATTTTAAAAGCTTTTGTAAAAGGTGATTGCAGCTGTAGATTATGTCTTTGTGCCTGGGGGACAGAGCAGCAGGCATAACAAAAGGATTTTTCTGTAGGCTGAGAACAGCTATCAGGTTACAGCACAGCAAAATTTTACAAGCCAGTTTTTTTTTTTGTTTTCTTTCTAACTCTCGGGTGTAAAGTTAGTTAAAACCAGAGAGTTTAGCTTCTTAAGCCTTTACAGGTGAAAGGGTTTTGCCTCTGGCCAGGAGGGATTTTATAGCACTGTTTACAGAAAGGTGGTTACCCTTCCCTTTATATTTATGACAGAGACCCTCTAGAATTTTCTTCCTTTCTTGGTCCAAAGTAGTAGCCTGAATTTGCTGACTGTTAGAGACAGGCTGTAAGGCTTGTCTGTTCTTCCTTGCTTTTAAAGGGAAGAGGGGGAGAAAACATTTGTGAGGGTCTAGGCAATTGTGTTGATGGGGCCAGGGGCCTGGGGAAGAGCTTATGTTTACTATAAAAAGGGCTGCTTGGGGTACACGGAGAGAACAGTGGAGTTAAAATGATACAAAATAAACGGAGTGTCAAGGGCACACACAGCCTGGGATGGGCAGTCTTTTTTTTTTTTTTTTTTTTTTTATTTATTTTAAACCTAGGAGGCTGTGGCATCCCTGTGACTGGAGGTTTTAAAGAACCGGTAAGATGAACTGGAATGATCTAGCTGTATTTAATCCTGCCTCCGCGCTGGTAGATGGACTAGATCACCTCCTGAGGTCCCTTTCAACCCTATGTTTCTATGATCAACAAAAACAAATCAATAATGCTCATGAACATTACCTGCTATTTCAAATGAATTTTTGTGATTTTCGCTGTCTTCTAGCTTTGTGATGGTCATTCCTGTCATTGGCAGTTTTCCCTAGAAAAGTCATAACATGTTTTTTTTTTCTTTTTTCTTTTTTCTTTTTTTTTTGAAAAAAAAAAAAAAAAAGAACCCAAAGATGTTTAATAGCTAAAAATACATACATTTAAAATACGCATAATTCCAACAGATGATAAACCAGTAAATTGAAACATACACATTAGATCAGCAATAATATTTAAAATACCATGGAAAAAGAATAACCAAATTACATAGCTTTTTGTGCCAAGAACAACTTCTGTGCTTAATATCATGAGTCAACTTGAAATCTGCACGAGCTATGGGTAGTGCATGTAAATACATTACAATGCAAACTCACTAAGAGAGGACCTTGACCATCTGTGGATTTGAGACCTACTAGGAACACATATTTCCACACATGTTCCATACTTAGTGAAGTTGATAATTCAGTACTATAGATGCAACTTCTACCTGAGACAGTACTGAACCAAGACACCAGCATGATGCCAGCAGATCCTATGATACAGTGGAGCTGTCTTTCTGAAGACATGTAAAACTGAGGACCTGTCCCTTCTTGTCATCAAAAGCTATAAAATTCTTTATGCAAGAGTACCAAGGCTTTAAACAGAACTGGGCAGGTAATTCACAGTGAATAACATAGTCACAGATTACACTTCTTTTTCTGACCTAAAATGGTCTGCAAGCAGATTGCAGTTTTCTCATGTTTACTTAATACTAAATTAAAACGATTCAATAATTTCTGCACATAATTTTTGGTCTGTAGCTCATTCAAGTATTCAGTTTTCAACATTTGATCTCTTTTGATGGCATATATAGGCCACATGATATGTTTCTGTGTGCTAACTGGATGGCTAACTCTTAGAATCAGGTTTCCAGTGTAAATAAGTATATATACAAAGGGAAATTCCACAAATAGTCACCTATTTTTGCTTTTTCGAACGCTGGTCCCTATGGGTATTCACTGTAGGCAACTCACAAGAGTACTCATTGAGGAGGAGGGTGCGAGGACCCGTGCTGCACGATGGAATACAGGACTGCTGAATCAAAGGATATACCTGCTGAGGTAGCATGGACCACTGCATAGTGCCCGGTAGAGGTGCATAGTAAGCTCCATGTTGCCACTCTGTAGATTTTTGGAGGTACACCTTGGAGAAAAGCTACAGAGGTAGCATATGCTGTAGTCAAATGAGCCCTCACCCTCTGAGGAGGATGGGTTTCCATTTGTTCAAAATGCAGCCAAATACAGCCCAAAATCCATTTCAACAGCCTTTGTGATAAAATTTCATCCACTCAGTGAAGGAGATGAATAATCTTAGAAATTTTCTAAGGAGCTTTGTCCTTTGTAGATAGAAGGTAACAGCTCCATGAACAACCAAAGAATTAAGTGTTCTGTCTTTTCTAGTGACACAACGTTTTGTGTGGAACACCAGTAGATGTCTGGCCTGATTCAAGTGGAATTCGGAGGAAACCTCTGTAATGAACTTGAGATGTAACCTTAGGGACACTTTTATCCCTATGAACATCACATAGGGAGTATCTGCCATAAGCATCACAAGCCTCCCTAGTCTCCAAGCAGAAGTAATTCCCATTAGGAAGGCTACTTTCCATGGAAAGATGGGGAAAGACGCAGGAGGCCAAGGGCCTGAATGGTAGATTCATACGTGCTGACAGAATTAGACTGAGGTCTCAGTTAGGAATCAGTGTTGATACTGGAGGGAAGGTTGGGACTAGACCTTTTAGAAACCTCGCAGTTGTAGGGTGGGTGAATATCGAGCAGTTATCTATCAGACGATGGAAAGCACTGATCGCTGCCAGATGCACGTGCAACAAACTAATGGATAGTCCCACTGACTTGAGGGAGAGAAGATATTTCAAGATGGCAGGGATTCCAGAGTCTAGTGGAGCTACCTGGCAATGCACCAGATGGAGAATTTCTTCCACTTGGCAGGATAGTATTTTCTTGTGGAAGCCTTTCTGCTGTTTTGAGAATGAACTCACCAGCCTCTGAGCACAATATTTCCATGCTCAATGCCGATCCAAACACTAAGCTGCGAGGTAGATGGATCTCAGGCTGGGATGGATGGTTCTACCTTCATCCTGAGTCAGGCAGTTCAGCAACTGTGCAAGTAGATGCATGGACACATGAACATCTGAAGGATGCTGGTGAACCAAAACTGTTTCAGCCATGTAGGTGCTGCCAGAATCACTGTCAATTTGTCCTGTTTAAACTTGTTCAGGAGTCATAGTCAGAGGGAGGCAAGAGGGAAAGTATACATTAGTGACTCTCACCACTCAACCAGAAATGAATCCCCTCTGGAAACGTGCCACTGAGCAGCACAGGAGCAATAGGCTCAGTTGTGAGCTGGAGCCGGTTCGCAACGGTTCGCTAGAACCGGTTGTTAAATTGAGAAGCCCTTTTAGAACCGGTTGTTCCGTGAGGGACAACCGGTTCTAAAAGGGCTTCTAAATTTAACCGGCCAAAAGTGACGCCTTAGGCGCCGACTCCATGGGTGCTCCAGGGATGGAGCACCCAAGGGGAAAATTTGGTGGGTGCAAAGCACCCACTGGCAGCTTCCCGCCCCGCGCCCGGCCCCAGCTCACCTCTGCTCCGCCTCTGCCCCCTCCCCTGAACGCGCCGCCCCGCTCTGCTTCTCCACCCGTCCCCTGGCTTCCCGCGAATCAGCTGTTCGTGCGGGAAGCTGGGGTGGGCTGAGAAGCAGGTGGCGGCTTTGCACTCAGGCCCAGGGAGGCAGAGGTGAGCTGGGGCAGGGAACATGAGGAGGGCCGCCCGCGCCACAGCAGGTAACCCGGTGGCAGCATGTAGGGGAACTGCTCCCCGCCCCAGCTCACCTCCGCCACCCTCGGCCCGAGCAGGAAGCCGCCGCCTGCTTAGCCCTCCCAGGCTTCCCGCCGAATAGCTGATTCTCAGGAAGCCGGGGGGGGGGGTGAGGGGGGGCCGGGCGGAGAAGCAGAACAGGGTGGGGCGTTCAGGAGGAGGCGGCGGAGCGGAGGTGAGCTGGGGCCGGACGCGGGGTGGGGAGCTGCCGGTAGGTGCTCTGCACCCACCAAATTTTCCCCATGGGTGCTCCAGCCCCAGAGCACCCACAGAGTCGGCGCCTAAGGCACCACTTTTAATGTGATCAGTGGGGGGAGCAGCCGCCCCCCCTGCTTCTCCCCTAGCTACGCTCCCCCGCCCCTAGGAGCCAGAGGGACCTGCCAGATGTTTCCTGGGAGCTGCCCCAGGTAAGCACTGCCGGGACTCCCCAGCTCGCCCCCCAGCAGGTCCCTCTGGCTCTTAGGGGTGGGGTCAGCACCCACTACAGTGGCCCACGAGACCCTCTTGCCCCATTCTGGGGGCAGTCAGGGGACAGGGGTTGATGGGGCAGGGGTCCTGGTGGGGGTGGGCGTCAAGGAACGCGGGGGGTTGGATGAGGCAGGAGTCCAGGGGGGCAGGGTTGGGCAACGACCCCCTCGTGGGGTGAGGAGGGAACCGGTTGTTAAGATTTTGGCAGCTCATCACTGAATAGGCTGGATACTTCTAAAAATTTCAAGCTGCCTGGGGCAGATGAGCTCGGCCTTCCCAACCAGTCTAAGGCAGCAAAGTCATCTGAAGTGCAAAGAAGTCCCATGACGGTGACTCCTCCCCCACCCCCCAAGCTGGAAGATGTTCTGTACCACTGAACTGCGAAGTTCCCAATAGTGTTGCCTGTGGAAGTGTCTGCTGAGACTGTCTGCTAGGGTATTCATTATTCTGGGAAAGCACACTGCTGAGAGAGTGATCTGGTGTCAGAGGCACTGATTCCAGAACCTGATGGCCTCTGTGCAAATATGGGCAGAGCTTGTTATCCCCATGCTTGTTTATGTATAAAACTGTGGTTAAGTTGTACAACATGACCAGAACACAATGGAAATGTGGGAAAGGCAGAAACCTTCTGCAAGCCTCCTGTATTACTCAAAGTTCAGGTAGACTGATATGTAGCTAGGATTCCTGTTGGGTCCAGGAACCTTGCACTACTTGGTTGTCCAGATGTGCTCCCCAACACAGTAGGAAAGGTGCATGTGATTAGTTTCTTTAAAGATAGAGGGGGCTTTCTCATTTTTCCACCAGGTAAGAGAAGACAGAACGATCTGAGGGTTCACAACTCACTTATACTGTGCATAGCCATGCCTGCAAGCAACGAAGGAGGAGTCTGGAGAAGGGTGTTATGTACATGCAGCCGCCCATGTAGTCGAGAAGGACCAGACAGGGACAAGCTGTAGTTTGGGGACTCAGTCAGAGCTTGAAAAGGAGCTCTCTCATCATGAGGAACCTGTCCTGAGGTAATAGATTTCAGAGTAGCAGCCATGTTAGTCTGTATCCGTAAAAAGAAAAGGAGTACTTGTACTCCTGTCCTGAGGTAAGCAAGCTTTGACTGAAGTCAAGCCCAGAGGCACTCTAATGAATTCTATAATCAGCGTGGTGATTGAAGTGGACTTTTTCTAGCTTTACTTGAAGCCCTAAGGATTGCAGGAGGCTGAGGAGGGAGTGTACTGTCCACTGGACTTCCTGAGATGATTACTCTGCGAGAAGTAAGTCATCAAGATAAGGAAGCATGGACCAACGCCCACTGCTAGAAAAGAATCTTCTGGGCTTGTGTGCTTGGAGTGTGTGCACACCCACAGTGAACAGCCATTGGGCCCACCACTCAAAGAATAACCAAATAAATAACCTTTTCATAGGTGACCACCAACAGCATGTTCCTTATTTTCAGTGTGCCTAACATGAGACAGGTGGGGCCAGATTTACAGAAATGCTGAGCACTCGCTGCTGCAACTGAAGTCAATTGAAGATGAGCTTTGAACATGCGTGTTGTATAATGCTAAGTACTCTGCAAAATTCAGTCCTAGGTGGTTACCTCACTTCACTGGGATATTCTGAAGATAAATTTATTAATGACTGCTTAGCACTCAATTATTATGGTGACAGCATCACAGAAACACCCATAAGGAAGTTAATAATTTTTTATGCGATGCATACGTGAATGTTAAATAAGGCCTGGGGCCACACTGTGAATGCGGACTATAAAAAACACAGAATGAAAAAGGGGACTTTTGGGGGAAAAATATAGTATGTGATCTTAGAATTAAAGACTGTATCATAATGCATAATTGTTAGGAGATTGAATAATTTTGGAATTTCCTAACTTCTGAGTGCTTGACTTCGCAACCTGAATGCTTAACAGTTTATGTAATATTATGAATAAGCTCTTATACTGCATTTTCCTTTATAAATCTAACAGCACTTTACAAAGGAAAGTATCAGTAGTAGGGAAACAATAAAGACAGAGTTGAAGTTACTCGCCTACGTTCATAGAGCAGATCAGTGGCAGAAACAGAACCTAGGATCCCAATAGCTGGACAATTCTGCCTTTCAGAGTACATATGCATACTGAATACATATAAAAAGAGAAGTGAAAATAAGTTTAGAAAGCTTTTTTAAGTTTGCTGTGAATAACCATAGTTAAAACATCTGTTTTACCTGATAGATAAACCCACTCATCCTAGGGCTGGCAGACAACATAAGCAAAATATTAGGGAAGAGAAGAAGATATCTTTCATTCTTTTCCTTATGAAAAAACAAAGAAAACAATTAAAAAAAATAAATAAGGCAGTAGACCCTAATTTTTTTGTATTTAAAACATTCACTGGTGTAGTACCAATACTACCGTACTTTTAGCAAAAGTTAACCTATGTATACTTAGCAATAAGAGGAGTCAAACTGCACTCAATTTTCTGTTCAAAAAGGTTTGTAACAAGCTCTTGTATTCAGGTTTTTATATTGCAAGTTACTTTGAAGAAATAAACCTCAACACTAGCAACTGACTATACTGCCACTCATGGGATTCCTGTTGTATATGAGACATTTCTTTCATGCTAGCTATCTTTATTTAGGAGTTGTCTTTTTTTTTTTTAAAGCAAAATATTTACCATTTTCCCTCTCTGCCCCTCCTAAAAGTTCTCTTTATCCAAAGTATTCTAAATGGAGTTTTTCAATATTTGTAGAATATAGGCCAATTTCTCAGCTGGGATAAAATGGCATAGCTACTTTATAAATTCATGGCCAATAAGCTAAGCGACCCAAGCTGAGGATCCAAGGTTTTCATATGCATTTGATAAGAGACATATGAGAGTATTTGAGGGAGTCTGGGGTTTTGTTGGGTAAGACATATGTTTATGAGTGTTATAAAAGAAACTAACTTGCTACAGTGGCAAGTTGCCTTATGGCAGAAATCTGGATTCATACCATTACTTTTTTTGGTGCAAGCTTTGTTCTTAAATGGTTTTAAAATCTTCTAAAATTCAGGATAGTGCATCTGATATTTTAAATTTTCCTATGCAAAAACTTTGCAACCGCACTCCTGAGTTTTTCACTGCCTTCCCACTTCAATTTAGCTGGCTATAGGTCTGGCCTCGATCCTGACACAGAGACCACCTCTAAAGCGTAGCTCATAATTCAGGTCCAGTCAGTTCTTTGGCCTCTCTGCCAACAAGCCTGTCAATTAGTGCCAACTGTGGTGATGGTTTCTGTGATGTGGTTGCTTGTGTGTTAGGAAACTGAGAAAGAGACCTTCAATTATTTTATATAGGACACTGCACATGGGTCAGAAGGTAAAGATTTCCGATCACTACAAAGCAAGGCTGGCATTAAAACCAATGATCTCAAGGTGAAAGGCATTACAATTCCCCAGAATCACTCAGTCCCCTGATTTTTGTCATTTTAATATTCAATATTTGAGGAAGGTGTCCAAAAACCCCATCAACCAAGGAGGAGTATGTCTGGGACAACAACAACATAAAGTATTTCCATATTGTCTTTACCATGTAGTAATAGCTACCATGGCAAATTATTTTGTAATGTAACCAATACACAGAGAAAAGTCCCTTTAATTTGCACTTTGGACTCCCTTACAACCCCTTAAGACTTTATAATGTTTCCAACAGCTATATCTGGCTATACAATTTAGTCAGCTTTTAGCTGAGCTTGTACATCTTAGAGTAGTTTCCCCCATTTATAAGGACACTTAGGTTAAACAAAATACTACATAAAATTTGTTCAGTCTATATTCTTTTTCTTGGAGTGGTCTTCTTGTTCCTAACACATACAATCCATTATTCATTATTAATTGTAGTTGCAAGAGAAGAATATTTAATGAAGATTGAACTGCGTTACCTCACTTCCAGCACACTGAATCATGACCTGGGACATGTAAATTACATTGCCCAGTGTTTTAATGTCCTCTCCCTCCCAGCAGCGGATGGCTTCCGTCAGTATTTGGAGTTCAAGTTCTTTTCTTTTCCGTACCTCTTGACATTGAGCCTGTTAAAGATAGGGAAGGTGCTAATAAGGTGGTGTCTGCGTGAACTGTATTTAGGAGTCAGTATCAGCTGAAGTAATTACTTGTCCTCAGTGCTCTGCTTGAAGTATAAAATAAAGCACAGTGACAAAGCTTTCACGTGTGAAGTATTTCTTTCAGTGGACTACATTAAAGTAGCTTTTTAAAATGTACATTGTTAATTACAAAACTACTACTTTTCTTTTAATTTACTGATCTCAACATCCCTTTAAAAAGTCACTACCTTGTTCTTCTTCGAGTCTTAGAGCCGCTTCTAATGTTATGCGTATTATTCACTCCCAAACAATAACGAGCTACCCAGCAGAAAGCAGAAATACAGATCTAATTCATACTCCCTCCCTTATCCTTTCCGCTATTTGTTCTCCCACTGGTCTGAAACTCTTGGGGGCAAGGGCTGTTTCCTCCTACTTGTTTTTACAGCATCCAAGAAAAAGGGAACCAAGTCTCACAGTGGCCATAAAATATATATAACGAAGTCACACTAATGGCGCAACCCCATCCAACAGGAAACACACAATGTTGACTATTTTAGTAGCTATAAAAAGTGTTAGTGGGTTGCACACACATGTCACTAACAACCACACCTCTTATTTCTTTGCTTGGATATCCATGTTAGAACTGACAGGTCTTATCCCCATCACCAGGAGCCTCTCAGCTCGTCCATTCTAGGCTTCAATGATGTAATGCTCATTTTTACTCTTGCCCCCTTGCACTAGGGATGTACACTACAGGCTGGATTCCTTAGCCCACTATCACCACATTCCCTAAGCGGCACAAACAGGCCATAAGGTGGCTGGAGAAGGCCAGGGACAAGTTCTAGGTGCAGGTGAGCCTTCTTCTGGTGTAAAGCTAAAAGGGGGATGATTTGGAAGCAAGGAGTGGACTGGAAAGGGAAGAGGTAAAGCAGAGCTCTGTTACACCTAATTTGCAGCTGACATTAAGTTAGGGCTGCTAATGTACTGCCTTAATTTCCAGTGGGGCTGGGCAAACAGGAATGAAGGAGCTGGAACAGGCTGCCAGCGCACACCCCCCACACACCTCACTATGCCTGAGCACGGAATCAAGCCCTACATTTCTAAAGATTTCACATATCAAAATATTAACTTTTACAGGGCATGAAATTAGCAAGCATTCTCCTAAATAAATACACATCTACTCTTCAAAATTCTTACGGAAAGGTTTTTGAAGGCTGTCATGGATTTCTGAATTTCTGGTCGATCGGGATGATAATCCTAAAAACAAAAACAATAGTACTGTAATTCCCGGGGATGGTAATGAAATGTTTCCTAGGAGACATAGTAACTACAGTATAGACAACTTTGTAACACTTGTAACAACCCTTTTTGTTCTCCTCTTTATGCCTTCTTCATTGCCTCCTTCCATTGATAGGACACTTGTAGCAAGAATGCAGAATCTCTGATGATGTTACTACAAATGCTATTCTTTCATGAATCCATAAAGCAAGGTCTGGAAAAAATATACCTGACTTAGATTTCAAAAGATTACTTGCAAACTTAAGTTTCTGCCATTAGTACTCCTTTAAAAAGGTTAACATACATCTTATGCTCTTATACTGCTCTTTCCTTATTGTCACAGTTAAACCATGCTCTTCTTTTCAGGTTATGCTAACATGGAACACTATCACAGCCGGCAAATCACAGACATGACACACCAACTCCACCCCCCCGCCCAAATTTTTTTTTAATAAAACATTTAAATGCAAATGTAGGCCCTTAAAATACTACCACATTAGAACACTTCCAGGTCTCATTGCCAGGCATATTTCAATAGAAGTAAGTGAGACTGTATCAAGTAGGGAGCATTTGAACAACGAGACCACTACTATGAAAAAAAAATCCTTTCTTGTAAGAGAAAACCTTGAGTAGCCTTAATTACAGTTTTTAGGAGACAGGTTCAAAACACAATCCACCTGGAGAGCTTGTGGATCAGATCCATCAGTGAGAAATTCAGATTCCTAGGTGGGTTTTGCTTTACACTTACTGAGTTGTTCAGTTAATCTGATTACACTGAGTTTTAAGCCTACTGCTTCTCTTATTTCAGAAGCAGGGCTCAAGTAGTGCCGGAACGCCATTTTGGCACTTTTCATGGTGTTCCGGTACCTCCAATACTTTCACTTTATGAGTGATAATCCTGGAAGTGCTTTCTGCCCCCCCACCCCGCCCCGTTTCCCCCCCACCCCTACCCCAATGACTGGAGCACTGTTCAGAAGGCAGAAAGGAGAGACAAGGAGCACAATTTGGGGCCCAACATGCTTGACATGTACCTTTAAAATAACTGTTGTCAAATCATCATTAAGATGGAACATAAATGCTGATAAGATATACCTCCATGTGCCTTTCAAGCTCTTTGAGTAACGTGGGGTATTTATCCAGGCGCATGAAAGGTTTGCTGAGGCCAGTGGTCAATACAAGGATCCCAGGGCTGTTGGCACCTTTCATTTCCATAAATTCTCCTAGTTCCTCACTGCACATGCAAAATATTTAAACAAATGAAGAATTAATTATCAACAGGTGAAAAATAAATTAGACTCTTGATTATTTTGATCCTTCTGCTCAAGGGAATTTTGCTTGAGACAGCAAGAGGTGAAAACAAACAAGAAGTAATTCAAATACAAAATATGTATTTTTATTTATTGTTTATTGTTCTGAGCTGAAACTCTGATGAATTTATAATACAAGGATACCCCTAGAGTGGGGTATTAAAAGACTACACTTGCCAGAGCGCTTGAGAGAGCTCAGATGAATTCTGATAAGCTTATTAGCATGCGTGCAGGTTCTTTTATTATTTTTATGTTTTTTCTGTAATGTTTTGTACCTAAATTCCCTGAAAGTTGACATGTGGATTTGGGAATTACTGGGGTTCCCAAATGAATTTCTTTTAAATATCTAATTACTCCCTTTCAGGTCCTGTAACTGGGCAGTCTGAACTAGTGCTCAGAGCCGGGGCGGAGTCAAGATCACAGTCAGAAGTCAAGCCAAAGGTCAAAGCCAGAATCTGAAGCCATAGCAAGGGTGAATCCAGAGTCAGAGTCAGAAGCCACACCAAGTGTCAGTGCCAGGGTCACACCAAGGGCTAGGCTGGAATTGGAGTCAGAAATTACGCTAATAGTCAGGCCAGAATAAGTCACTGGAATTAGGGCTGCGGACCCTCCACCTGCCTGGAATGGGGTGGGGGCTGAAAGTAGCCCCCAGACCATGTCCCAGCATCATCAACTCCCCATGTCTCCCAAAATCAGTTAAAGGCACAAACAAGTCCTTACCCAAAAAATAACAGATTCAGACTAATAAGGGGTTTCAAGACCAAGCTGTGTTGGAGTTATGACAAGGCAAAATAGATAAATTTAAATAAAACTACTTTCTGAACATTTTCAAAAAGTAGAGCTACCTGATTTTAATATCTGAATCTCCCGCATGCCTCATCAGACCTGCCTTAAACTTCCCAGAACAATTCTGTCTAACCTGGCATAAAATCACACTGATTTTGGTAACTGATTATTATTTGTGTCTGATAGTACTCAAGATGTGCTATATGTTTTCCAAACAAAAATAAGGCTCAATCCCGGTCCCAAATACAACACAATTTAAAGTCAAACAAGTTAGCAAGGGTGTGATTGTCAAAAATAGATCTTATGTAAAATTAACATTAGCAGCTATGGAAAGTATATAGCCTCTACATACCAGGAGTTTTGTTACTTACTAGTTCTAGACTCAGTATAAACTCCATTTGGAAGAGAAACTATGTCTTCATACTTGCCTGGACAATGCCATGCATACCCATGGATGACGCTATATATAAGTGACCTTTATCTAAATATGAACAAAGTGATAGCTATTTCCTTTACTGAATATCAGACAAATGTTTAAGCCTATTATTTGCCTCTTTACCCAGATCTTGTTCTCCCCACCTATGAACGCTATCTACCTTCTTTGTCCTGCTCCTCCTTTATAAATTACTTCCTTCACACTATCTGCTCCTCCACCCCCCTTCATGAAACACTATCCAATTCAATGTTTAGGCAGCCTCCCTTTGCTCCTCAAAAAAACCTCATCTGTTCCATGATACATTCCAACTACAAAGATCACAGCCTACTCTTTTAGCTGTTTTGTATTGTTCTCTACAGCACCAACATGTGCCTTTAGACTATACTACACATGAATCCTTGCCCCTCATCATTCAGCACATTATACGCACTGCACATGGTTGTTTACATAAGATGGCATCATATAAATAATATTTGCTGATCTATCTTCAAGTACAATGCCCCCTTACTTATAAGGTCCTCTTACTTTAAAGCAATTATGATCACCGAATCCCCATCCCACCACCAAAACACCAACTTCTGCTCCTTCTGCTGGCCAAATATTTTGGAGGAAAATACTATTGTTCCAATTCTTTCTGACTTTGGCACCATGGAGGTTTCAGTGGGCCACAGATTTGGCAGGGTATTGGAGAAGAGCCAGTATGAAATACTGCCCCATAAAACCCATTCTGACCCCTGAAATAAAGACAAATATTATCCATAACTGTTTCCATTGCATGCTTTGTGATTCCTTCCTGTATTTGTTGACTTCAACAGTATTTTCTGAGTTATTCTCTGTTCTTCAAAACAAAAGATACCTTGCAGAGTGTTGCATCAGTTTATTTGCTCACAGCATGAGAACACAAGTTTTAAACCTAAACCAATTTTAAACAGATTCAAAACCTGGAAAAAATATGTTTATTAATGGAAGCATCAAAAACCATTTAATAGAGTGGTGATAATAGATGTAATTATAATTGAATTACACAGTTTTGTTCCTAACATTCCTAAGATGACTGTTTTCTTTCACACAGTGCTTCTCTAAACTTTAGTCTTGCAAGATTTGTCATGCTAACTTGTACAAACAGCAGGATTTTAAAAAACAAGTACATCTTTTTTTTTAAATGCAACTGACATTGAATTATTCAGACAAAAACGTTCTATCATGCAGACCCTATTAGGAGTCTGTTCCAGCCCATCAAAGAGTCTCCTACATGTGCAGTTTCATGAATAGCCTTAGATTCTTCATGCCTGCTAAAGACAATGCAAACAAAATGGAACTTCATTCAGATAACAGAACAATCTACTTTCAGTGAAATATGTGTTGTTTAGCCAACATATTTTTCAATGCTAGAACATAAAACACTACTGGAGCTGGGGAACAAACTGCAGGTCATACATCAGTTTTATTTACTTTTTCACTAGATCATGAGAACTAAAATCAATGCCATTAGCTCAAGATCACAGCTGTTTTGACAAAGACAATGGCTCTTTCATATCATGCAATTTTGACTGGCACTTACAAGTTTAGCACAGTGTATTGCCGCTGTAATTACTGAAATGACACAGTTAAGAAGCAGAGCACACACAAAAAGAAGCATCATTTAACTAAGCACAAAGTAACAATTATGCTTTTGGAATCATGTATATTTTTAAAAAGGCTAAATGATCAAACCTATGATTTATTCAGAATAACTGATCATGAATACCTACTTTCTGAAGAACAATAAATAAGAGTTATTTCAATATGCTACCTGTGACATTTTACAGAATTAGTATATGAATAAAAGCATACTGGAAGCCTTTGTTCTCTAAAGCGATCGTTACAACTTCTATCTTAAAGTCTGCAGTTCAAACTAAGGCTAGCTTAGCAATATTTTTAGAAATCAGCACTACAACTTCTGTCTTTAAAATTTATCAATATTCACACCTTAGTACGTATATCTCCATAACAGACTCAACAGTTACAAAACAGATGAGAAAAAAAGCTAAAACAAGAAAGAATCACTCAAAGTTCAGACTGCCTATAGTAATTTGGAGGGCAGAAAAAGCCACATAATATATCAGACACAAAAACCAAGAGCTAAACATGCACTTTTAAGACTTTTTTTTAAACTTACACTTCTGAAGCAGATCTTTGTTTATAGTAGATAGAACATGAACTCTCACTGCTGAGGGGTCTGAGGACAGCACATAAACATCGCATTCTGACAACGTTACAGCAAGACCGTGGCTCATTTAATGAATCTAAGTCTTACAGCTTCTAGTTCTCTAGTGCTGAATTTCCAGAAAGAGCTCCTTACTCTGGGACTGTTGCTTAGAGTATGACATCAGCCTGCACGCTTGCAGGCTCTGGGATACACAAAGCGGAGGAAGTACAAAGAGTTTTCTGACTCAAATTTATCCGTATTCCATGCTCCAATTATTGGAGTAACTAATGTACAAGCTCCACAGATTTATCCAAACTGCTATTAAGGTGAGGATGTAAAATATAAATACAGCAAATGCTTGACAGGCATTATCCAATAAAGTTGAAGTCACAAGAGCTAAAGAAATTGATTTGTTTGCCTATCTTTTAAAAGCTTTAAATTAAGGATAATTTCATCTACCATTGAAAATCGACTCATTTTAAGTTTTGCACTGGCAAAGAAAAAAGCTAAACAGAGTTACAATAATAATGATTCTGGCTTCTTTTGGGGCCATTAAATAATTTTTGGTATTGAAAACGTTATTCTGTCTTTTTTCCATTTATTTTGAGATTATGCGCTATTCACTACCTAATATAGTAAACTGTAGTTTGTCTGTCTTTTTAATCTGAGCAAATGTTATTTTACTTTTTTCAGTCCATTGTCCACAAGTTTAAACACATATATCACACTTGGCACCCACATACTTAATGTTAAATTAAGGTTATGCCCCTCATATTTCTTCAGAACAATTACACAATAATGACTGAGTGTAACACTTAAAGCGATTTTTCTTTTTTAAAGACGTCATCACTCCTCCCCCCCATGCAATAGGTTATGTTTCTTCGTTTTATGGACAGTCCATGTAAGGTCCCACTCCAAGTCCCTCCTTCCTTTTACATTAATTCTCCTTGAGCTTTTTTGCTGGAGTTTCCCTCATAATAGTTTTGGTGGCTCAGACTCCTGCCCAGGCCCACACATATCCCCTCATGCTTCCAATAAAACAGGTGCCACGTCTTGACTATTTTTCATGTCCCTTCCCTTCCCAACAATTATGTCTCCATTCTTTACCTCAACTTACCCCCCCTCCTTTTTTCTTATTTTGTTCCATCCCCTTATTTCTTCCCCCTGCTCCTTCCCTCACAAGAAGACAAGCAAGTTATCAATGTGCAGTACTGTATGCAAGTAGCCTCATTAAAGGTCAATGCTACTTAGTAGGCACTGAATGTGCATCTTTAAATATCCCTCCCTTTACTGCTACTTCTACATACATTCAGCTGGAGCTGGAAATTTTCTGTTTATCTAACAAAAATATCTCCAAATACACAAATGTCCACCATATAGGGATGGGATTTTCAAAGGAGTCTAAGGGAGTTAGACACTCAATGCCTACTGAAATGAAGCCACAGAGACAAGATCATCAAGGGATAAGGTGGAGAGGAAGAAGAGAACTTAGAGGACGCTAGCAGGCACTTAAA